CCCCGCCACATTGACTGGACCATAGATCCCCGCCACATTGACTGGACAATAGAACCCAGCCACATTGACTGGACCATAGAAGCCTGCCACACTGACTGGACCATAGAATCCTGCCACATTGACTAGACCATATATCCCCGCCACATGGAATGAACCATATATCCCCGCCACATTGACTGGACCATAGAACCCCGTCACATTGACTGGACCATAGATCCCCGCCATATTGACTGGACCATAGATCACCGCTATATTGACTTGACCATAGAACACCGCCACATTGACTGGACCATAGAACACCGCCACATGGACTTGACCATAGATAGATCCCAGCCACATGGATTGGACCATAGATTCTCGCAACATTGACTGGACCTTAGATCTCCGCCACATTGACTGGACCCTAGATCCCCGCCTAATTTCCTGGGCCATATATCCCCGCCCCATTGACTTGACCATAGATCCCCGCCACATTGACTGGACTATAGATCCCCGCCCCATTGTCTGGACCATAGAACCCTGTCACATTGACTGGACCATAGATCCCTCCACATTGACTGGACCATAGATCCCTACCCCATTGACTGGACCATAGAACCCCGTCACATTGACTGGACCATAGATCCCCGCCACATTGACTGGACCATATATCCTCGCAATATTGACTGGACCATAGATCCCCGCCTAATTGCCTGGACCATAGATCCCCGCCAAATTGACTGGACCATAGATCTTGGCCCCATTGACTGCACCATAGATCCCCGCCACATTGACTGGACTATAGATCCCCGCCATATTGACTGCACCATATATCCCCGCCACATTGACTGGACCATTTATCCCCGCCACATTGATTGGACCAAAGATCCCCGCTCTATTGACTGGACCATAGATTCCCGCAACATTGACTGGACCATAGATCCCCGCCACAGAGACTGGACCATAGATCCCCGCCACATTGACTGGACCACAGATCCCGGCCACATTGATTGGACCCTAGATCCTCGCCATATTTACTGGACCAAAGCAGTTACAATTAATGTTGTTATTGTTGTTTGTAATATCATAATCGGGTCATAAGTTTATGGAAAAAACCACATAATTTTTCATCATAATCCGTTTATTATCATCGCTTTTGCGCATCATATCTCTGATGTATCTTACCATGCCATGGCAAAATCTGACTGCCAATTTTTGTATACGTCAGATAAGCAAGAGCGATTCAGCGCGGAAAGGTAAAAGGGGGAAAAGAGAAACAATTAAAAATATTAAAAGTATAAATTTTACTGGTAAAGGCTTCTTCGCATTATGTATTGTTTACTACAATGCCTTAGACTTTCATTTCGTTTAAAACTTCCTATATTTGGAGCATTTTCATACAACTCGTTTATGGATCAATAAATTGACGTGTTATATTATCAATCTACGGTACATATAAAACTAGCCATAAAAGAGCATTACATAGAGTACTGGACATACAATTACAGAGAATCAGCATAACTCGTGTGAATAGTAGGTCATGTTCACGACTAAATATTTTACCCGAATTAAAGAAATGTATGCTCAAGTGGCGGATAAAGGGGTAAATGTGGTTGGATTAAAAATGTCAAGTGGATGTGAAACAGGAATATCAGCAAAATCATGTTCAATGACAATTCTGATAAAATGGCTTCTGAGACAAAGAAAACTCCTATGGATGCACTTCTGTGTCCAAAGCCATGAAATTGACGCACTTACCATGATTTGCATGTTTGCCGCGGGAGGCTGAACCTTTCTCCTGTAGTCGTTGTGAAGGTTAAGCAAATAGGTCTTGTAAGGTCGAACGTCCATCATCGCACCTCTGATTTGGCCTACACATACCACCAGCATCAGATAAGTCAGTACTGCCATGCCTCACCTAAAACGGCAAAATATTTAACGCTCATATAACAAAAACAAGTAGGTAAAGGAAATGAAATATAAACTTTTATGGTTCAAAAAACACTGAAATGAAATAAATTCATAAATCACTTAACAGAAACCACCACGAAATCATCCAACACAGACAGAAAAAGACATATTCACAAAATCATCAAACAAAGAAACAGACAACCTTTAAGTCCATCAAATGCAAGAAATAGACATGTTCATGGCTTACCAAAACGAAACAGAGACCTCTATGAACCAATCAAGCACACAAATAGAATAGTTTTGAGTTCATCAAACGCAAGGATAAGTAATCTTTTTAGTTCACCAATCATAGAATGGTACTTTTTATCTTTACGAGTCATCAAAAATATAAAAATGACACATGCAGTGCTCTCTAAGCAGTGAAATAGACACTTTTTCAACAAATACATTTATAGACAATTCCCCTTTTACCTTCGCGGCCAAATAAATGCAATAAATACCCTCAGAAACTTCATGTATTATCGAACATATAGATACGGTCATGTACATTTTGTATAGACACATTCTAAACCCACCAGAGAAACTGATATTTGCATTGACCATCGGGTACAGAAAGACACGATCATGCAAGTAGAGCAAACACCGAAATATAAACATTTATGACTAATCATTTTAACACACAATAAAAACCTCCGAAAAGGGCTCAAAATGACTTATCACAATTTTAAAAAATGCATAAGGGGTCCGATAAATGGAACCCCTTAGTTAAATAGTAAAATAATAAAAAATAAAAATAACACAGCAAATTTAAAACAAACGTCACATGTTTTCAATACTTTGTGTTTCAGATGATCGTTTTATATTTAAAAAAACTAAACAGCGAAGACAAAGTCAATTAAGAAAAATAGAGAATTGTAACACCATACCTTGGAAATAAAACAACAGCAAAAATCGTTTCGGTCTGTCGGATCCTTGATGTAAAGCTTCATGTACCAGGTTGGAGAATGGTGTATCAGCTCTACGACGTTCATCTTTTATAGCACGTGATCAGTAGGGAAACAATGGGACGGCAGTAGGACGTTGAAATTGATTAGTAGGAGGTGACTAGTCTCCAGCCCATACTGCAACACAATCGAGGAAGCAAATGGGCTGGGCCGGAATCTAGTATCAGTCATCTAATCAGCAATAAATCCGGCTTAGAGGGAGGGATTATCGTGCTCGGAATATAATTTGTTCGGGCAAATGATGATCTGATAGGGTAACATGTGTTTGATTAACAATGCAGTAGCCATGACGGACACTCGGCTTTTAGCTTGTAATGGTCTCGATAGATGATCAAATATAACATTTATGAAATTACGTATTGACAAGGTCAGTATTGACATACACTAAAAGCTACCGTTGTTATTTGAGCTAGGATAAAACAATGAAGCAGGCTTAATGTCCATTGTCATAGCTGTACACCTAAAATAGCAATGAGTAGGTTTTTTCACATAACACTGACATTTTATTTGAGTTTTTTGTCTCTTTCCAAAATCATCTGCGAAACGAACACTGTTAATTAGTATAACTGCGTATTAGATTCTTCATGTTTTTGATATCGAACTACACTTAAGCATGATAGCGGGGATATGTTTTCGATATTTAGCATTGTATTTGAATCAGTAAGAGTAAAAGATTTTCTCGGTTTGCTCAAGTTCCATTTATTTTTAGTTTAAATTATATGTTTTTCACAAATAAGCATGCGAAGTCGCTTTTTAATAAAGAGATGATACATCTATGCTTACACACTAAGTAGCTGTTCATTTAATTATAACAACTCTCCTTCATTTTATCTCACCAATAACTTTATTGAACACAAAATTAGGTTTCATATATTTATCATATTTCGAAATATCCACTGTTTGCGAAAAGGTGAAGAGATTTTATGTACTTATTACGATACGCTTAACACACATTGGGTATATATACCGTTAAACATAGTCTACATAAGACTTTGTCAGCCGTGACGTGTTAAGTGTGTGACAGCGTTAGAAACCCGGAATAATTATACACGTTTTGTTTATATCTTGTCAGTCCTTGTTAGAACGATCTATTGTCCGCTATAGTGTTATATGTTTCCGTGTGTGTGAACTAGTCTGGGATTGAGAACAGAATACGCATTTTGTTACCCACTGTTTGGTCGTAACAGGGAACTAAGGTGGATCTCCCTGCAGAATTGGTGATTTTCTTTTGTGGCTTCTGCTTGGAGACACCAGAAAGACCACAGAAAAATGGCTACTTCCATTAAAACAGTTCCCTCCTTTTATTTACTCTGTTTATTCCCTAACGTATAACTTGGCAATACCTTGCTTTACGCCTTGGTGTAAAGTGGTTGGCTAAGCAAGGACGGTTAATAACTTATAGGTTCTGTCCCCTGAGCAAAACAATCCCTTGGCTGTTACAAGGACTTAAAACCTAAACAGACAAGCAAACCTTGGGACATTTGCTTTTTTGATAACGTTGTCTATAGTTTCTGTTCTTTTCTAATTTAAAAAAAAAGTGTTGATTGTATGATTTATCGATACAGCTAAAACCATTTGACTACTCTGTTATTTACCAAAACAAAATGGCGGCTTTTAAGTCGCCTTTCAGATATGTTTTCCGATGCAGTCGTCAGTAACACGCTGTACGCTCTTTGTGCGCTGTTTATGATACAGAGTACATAACCATTAAGCTCTGTTACAAATACAACTAAAAAGATTTCAAAGCAGGATAATGGCTGACTTCGTTTAGCATTAGTTTGTCGAGGCTGTATGCATTCCTGCTGGAAAAAAGTTGTTTTGCTTTCATTTGAGGATAAATACATTAAAGAGCTTATCAGGACTGGTAACAAAACACCCCCACCCCCAACCCCACCCCACCCCCCACGTCATTCAGACGCACTAACAAAACTGTCGACGATTTGCTTTATTTAAAAAACAAAAATCGTATTTTCTGGGTCGATACCTAGTACCCTTCTGGGCCCAGTTGTTAAAAGGGTAATTAGCTTAATCAGTGATTAGCTCAAATATTATTTTTTGTGTATCTTTAAGACTCAACTTTTGAATTAGTTACAATTTTCTAGAAATCAAATATTCAGTTGAGTGAATGTACATGCATAGTTGTGAGATTTTAGCTTGTATGTTGACAAAATTATTAAAGGTTGAAAAATGTAGTTAAACTGTGATTAAGCTAACCACCTTTTGAACAAGTGGGCCCTGAACGTAAAATCAAGTACCCATCAGAATCTATTACATCAGCATTCTTCGAACCTTACTTACAATATGATCTAAAGGGATGTCTTAATTCTAAGCTGTACGGTAAACGTGACGATTTCAGTGCTCTTATCGTGAACGTTCCCTGTCTCGATAGTAATATCCCTGCTTCCCTAGTCTACAGTGTTTACATGTCCTAGTGGATTCAGTAATAACGGACTTAATTCGAATATAATAATTTCCGGGATGAATGTCAAATGGTGACGGAAAAATTACAACATGCTAAGAGATGCTGGTTGATCAAAACTGTGGACATGTTAAAGGTGGCCGTCATGATTTCATTAGGGAATCTTTCCTTGTGTGTTCTGAAGGTCG